AGAAGAAGAAGAAGAACAGCAGGAAGACACAAAGAAGCCAGCGGTCTCCAGCTCAGCACAGAGCACAGACGGCGACACAACCACACCGGAGGGCCAGCGGGACATGGACAGTCTCAATCTGTTCCTTCAGAAACCTGGCTCCTTCTCAAAGCTCAGCAAACTCCTTGAAGTAGCCAAAATGTCTCGGGACGTCGATCCTCACTACGGTGTTTCTGCTAAAGTCCCTCCCGCTGTCTCTTATCCCTCATATTCTGACTCTCAGACGGCTACTGGTCAGCAGGGACTGATTGATAAATTGGTTACTTCAGTGCCGTCTCTGCTTAGTTCCCCCCAGCTCGGTAGTCCCTGGGTGACCTGCGGCCCACAGTCCATCGATCACGAGGAGCAGCTCTCTAAGATGCTGATGGAAAAGAGCAACCAGTGGTTTAGCCTTTTGCCTCGCTCCCCTTGTGACGAGTCCTCGTTCACCTCAGGCTCCAGCCCTCCGGCCTTGTCCTCCTCTCCGCTACAGACTAGCGCCACCAAACCCCCGTCCCCTATTTCCCCAGCTAGTGCCAGCTGCAGGGCTCCTACGGGGACCAATAACATTCAGCATTCTGTCTCTCAGGTTGGTTGATGGCAAAAATCGCAGTCACAATTATTTCAGAATGAGCTCCTGGAATGTTTTATTCATCACACTCGTACCAGGTTTGATCATAATTCAAAGTGTGTGTATTTTTCCCCTCAGCAAGTAAAGTCTGGCATTCATCAAAGCAGGCTGACGTGGTGCAATGTGACCGGCATGCCGACGAGTCCCGGCCTGCCCGTCCTCAATGCTTCTCTAACCCCAGCGCTGGACCGGAGCTCCCTACATGTAAAGGGTGACGGCAAAAAAGTCTTCCTCCTGGCACACAGCAACTCTGTCAACAAGAGTGGGACCCCAGAGCAACAGAGTGACAAGCCGGAGTGCGCCTCATTCCCTTCTGTGGAAGTGGCCAATACCCAGGACTACCCCAGTCCTCAGCCCATCCCCGAGGGTAAGAATGGCTCACTGCCAGTATGCACCAGTCAAATATGGCCGAGTATTTACTGCCCAGACAGGCGGTCACTCAGCTATATGACTTCTCCCCTATGTTGGGGAACAAGTTTCATGATGAGTTTTTTAAATTGTTCTTGGTGTGTGTTTGCAGATATGCTGTGTGGCTGGTGGAGGGTGGCTGACATGGAGGAACTGCACAGTTTGGTCAAGGCCCTCCATAGCCGAGGCATCAGAGAGAAGGCCTTGCAGAAACAGATCCAGAAACACATGGAGTACACAAACCAGCTCTGTGCCAATAGCAAACACTGTTAGTCCACATTTCCATCAATCAACAGACATACAATCACTCAAAACATATTATTATTATTGCTTTATATTGAATATATCAAGTTTGCTTTCAGTAGACTAAAGTTTGAAATTGTTGTCTGTAGCGATTGACGTGGCCGAGCTGAAGAAGAGGGAGCCGAGTGAGAATACCGTGGAGGGTTGGTGTGTTGAGGAGCAGGCCATGGAGGTGGACATCAGCTTGCTGCAGCAAGTCGAGGGTCTGGAGAGGAAAGTCGTATCTGCGAGCCTGCAAGTCAAGGTATCTGCAAACGGTTGTCTCATTCCTCCGTCTTCATACAAGCTCGCATAGGCATGGAAAATGTAATCAGTTGAGTTCATCTTGCAATTATCCAATGTATGCTTGTCCTTCACCGGTGTCCTCACGTTGTCTATATGTTGATTAACTGTGTCATCAAACGCAACATCACCTACCCCAGGGTTGGATGCATGGTGAGCCCCAGTCAGAGAGGGAGGATCTGGTCTACCACGAGCACAAGCTCCATGCCTCCCCTGCTCAGGAGAAGAAAGGGCAGAGAGAAACGACCCAGGAGGAGCTCCCTGGCACGGTGGTGCGACGGCCCGACAATCCCCTCGATATAGCTGTCATCCGGCTGGCAGAGCTGGAGAGGAACATCGAGCGGAGGTACTTCAGCCCTTCAGATCAAATTGGATAATGTCACTGTACCCGCACCACACCATCCTCTAGTGGAGAAGGGAAGGTTCATTCCACACAGATTCAATACGTTGCTCCTGAAACACGGGTTTCAGGCTTTTATCATTCCGCCTGAGGATGCTGCATACTGCATATGTGGTTGCTGTGAAGGCGTGCTACCGTCTCACTTTTCTCTATGATCCCATGACAGTGAGGAGGAGGTGGCGCCCGGGATGCGGCTGTGGCGTAAAGCCCTCGGTGAAGTCCGCAGTTCGGCTCAGCTGTCACTCTGCATTCAGCAGCTGCAGAAATCCATTGCCTGGGAACGATCCATTATGAAAGTGGTTGGTGACAGTCTCTCATAATCACAGATTGTATAAATTATAGATTTATAGATTTTTTCTTTTTTTTGTTACCAAGTACATAAACCTCCTTAAACGCATTAAAAAAATAACATAAATCTGCCTAGAAGGGTTGTTGTCAGGCATCGACCGTATCAGTATCAACATCATTCAATGATTAATCAACATCATTTCATTCTCCTGGCTGCACTGACATTTCTTAATACCTATAGTTTTTATAGTGATATCTCAGTTTGAATTCCCAACTTCACTTGTTTCCAGCACTGCCAGCTCTGTCAAAAGGGGGATAATGAAGAACTGCTCTTACTCTGTGACGGCTGTGACAAAGGCTGCCACACTTACTGCCAGATACCCAGAATCACTACGGTACCTGACGGCGACTGGTTTTGCCCCACTTGTGTAGCAAAGGTACACCGGCATGCCGATTGTCTATACCACTCTTACAGTAGCTCACATTTATCATATGATAATGCACACATGCAGTGAATTGATTAGATTATTATGTTTTCTGTGCCTCTTCACCGGACCCCTGTGCTTTTATGTCATTCAGGGCAGAGGCCAGTCTGCCTGGAGTCGGAAGCAACGGAGCCGAACAGCTGGAGGAGGGAAGAAAGGCAGCGAGGTAAAACAAAACAGTAACTCATCTGCGGTAGGAGAGCTCATCAAAGGAGAGGCTGCCAGCGGCAACAGCGCGCCAAAGAAAGCTACCAAGGAGCTCAAAAAGAGGAAAGGAGATGACAGCCCCCCCTGCTCCCAGACCAGGCACATCAGCCCTCTGTCCTGTGTGAAAAAAGCTAAAACGACCAAAGACTGTAACACGGATGGGCTGATGATGTGCCGGTACGCATGAACATATGGTCGCTGCATGCACAGCAGCATCCACTTGACCTCCTCTGGAAGTCATGAACATTGTTTCTATCAGGCAATGTCATTTCATACATTATCCCAAATGGTTTTCAAAAAACGTTTTCTAACCGATTAAAGTGACTAGTTTGAAATTACATCGCCTTTTTTTCACTTGTTCTCTCCAGAGTGTTGCTGGACGAGCTGGAGGGCCAACGGGACGCGTGGCCCTTCCTCACGCCAGTCAACCAGAAAGTCGTCCCGGGATACAGGAAGGTCATCAAAAAGCCCATGGACTTCTCCACCATCAGAGAAAAGCTTAGCAACAACCAGTAAGCGCGTCACTGTCAAAATGCTGTTTTTTTTTTTTAGTAGACTCATGAATTCATGACTTATCTTATTTTTTTAATCAAAACCTTTTTTCTATTTATTTTCAGGTACTTTAATTTGGAAGCTTTCATCATTGACGTGAACCTGGTTTTTGATAACTGTGAAAAGTTTAACGAAGATGATTCCGAAATAGGACAAGCCGGCCACAGAATGAGGACATTTTTTGACAAACGATGGGCTGAACTGCTGGAGTGACCATTAGCTTGGTGGACTTTCAATGCTGCTCTCTGCATAGCATACTTCCCCTGTGACACTAAATCAATAAATAGGTGATGATACCACTGACGTGCAATGGGATAAGACGTGATTCTACTGCTGAGAAAACACACTTCATGAGTTCATTTGTTAAAGTGCAATACTGTTTTCTTTATCAGAATACACTGGCTCTTGGGATCAACGTTGTATTTGGACCTTTCTGCTTTGGGGATTTCCACTGTACATAGACCTTTTGCTTCTTTTTTTTATCATCAATACTTAAGTTTAATGTACATGTGCATATTTATTTTCTCAAGTATTTATGTTCGGGTCAGTCTTTTCTAAAAACAAAAAAGCAGGACATGGCACACAGCTTTAAAAAAATATATCAAAAGATTGTTTTATGAACCATTCAACCATGAACTAGCCAATCAAAAAAAAAACGTTTACAGCTCTTTGACTATAGTGTGCCAACAGTACTACTGTTAATCTGCGAGTTAATTGTGTAAAGTACCAGGAGGTATAACTCATGCCTTCAAATCGTATTTCTAACATGTATAGAGTGTACATACAGTACAGTCTTGTTAAAATATTGTTTATGTATAAGGATGATTGTAGCACTTCATATGTCTTATACTGTACTCTGCCTGAATATCCACTCAAACACTGGTCTCAATATTGTAGTGCCTGACCTCTGACGTCTAAAGAGTGTGTGGAGGAGTTTGCTTTTTTTCTATTGTGTGTGTGTGTGTGTGTGTGCCCGCCATTTGTGTTCTGCACAATATACTGTAGGGAAAAAGTAATATTCTTAAGAGCCTCTCCGAAAACAATTGATGTGGTGCTTCTACTGTGTTTCATCTCCAAGCATTTTCTTCAGCCAGTCCTGTCAGACATCCTGTGGGCAGATGTAAGACTGCTTTAATCCAGCTGTGGGTCACAGTCTAGCGGAGGCATCTCCAGACAGCTGAAGTCAGAAGACCTGAAGTAACTGTTTTCTTTTGTGTTATGGATATTGTGAAATGAGTAGCAACTTTTGTGGGAATATTATTTTTGACTAGTGAGTGTATGGCACAGATATAATAAACCTGTTTTTCAAAGTAACACGTTAAGTCCTTTTACTACCCTGCTGAGTGATCTGCATTTTTATAATCTGGCCATGTTTTAATCATAGATATATGAAATATATATGTATTTGGTTGAAATGATCTGAAATTAACAATGCATTTATTGTACTTGTCAACAGGGTACCTTCAAATTAAACAGACAAAACATAACATTAAATATGCGGCTTCGAACATTGTAGACTCAATAAGTGTCACGTGACTGATAACAGCCGGACTTTAGAGCTGAAAGCGGAAGTACTTCACAAGAGAAACAGTCCAAATGTTGAAGCGACGACAGTAAACGCTTTGCTGTATTTGAACAAAACGTTAGAGGGACAGACATCAGTCCCCAAACGTCTCGCCCCTTTCTCTTCACAAGCCAGATATTTGTGGCGTTTCTTGCGTGAGTGAACGTCTCCCTCTCCCGAGATGACGTCATTGCTCCACACTCTCCGGCACCACGCAGACGAGGTCAGCTGCTGCTCCTTCTCGCCGTCGCTCCTGGCGACCTGCTCCGGGGACAAAACCCTCCGCGTTTACAACACGGCCGACTTCTCGGAGCTCCCCTTTTCCCCGCTGTCGGGCCACGGTTACGGCGTCCACTGCTGCTGCTTCAGCTCCTGCGGCCGCCACCTGCTCAGCTGCTCCACGGACGGCTCCGCCATCGTGTGGCACGCGGGGACGGGCGAGGTGGCCGCGGTGCTGGTGCACCCGGCCCGCAGTCCGCTCCGCGCATGCGCGGTAGCGCCGGACTCGTCCCTGGTGCTGGCAGGGGCCTGCGATGGCACCGCGGCCCTCTGGGACTTCCCCTCCAAGGCCTTACGCAGGTGCGGCGTGCCGATCGTCGTCAGAGCGACCAGGGGCCACATTCCTGCCTAGTCACGGCTTTAATGTGGTTGTCTATCAATGGGGATATTCGTGAGTGCTTTCAGCAAATTCCGGGAGAAAATGGGCCTCCCTAGTTTTTCAGAGCCCCACAAAATTAGTCTTCAATTAGCTTTTTTTTAAATTGAATTTTCAATCAAACCAGAATCATTTTATCGGAATCCGACAAGCTGCAGCCAGCATCTTTGTTTTTCTACTGATAATTAATTATGGGATGATCTTAATAGTTGTTTGACTGACATTGATTTCTTTTGGGCGAATGGTTGGACAACCTGACATTGAAGGTTTTTCCTTGAATTTGGTACTCCGACCCAAGATGGCTTACTTGGTTAAACCGTACTGCCTTTTCCATCACATCCCGATTCTAAAATATTTCAATTGATTGTTTTGTCAGAGCCACACCCACTTCAAACCAATGAGAAAACAAAAAAACGAACTCATGAAACATGTTTGGCCAAATATTTTATATTAATTTGGAACCTTTTTGTTCTAAACATAGACTTTGTTGAAAAAATAAGGTTTTCTTTGCCGTAAAACATCCATGACTCTTTGACTTTTGCATCCTTTCTTTGTTTAGTTCTTTGTAATTAATTGAACTAATATTCTATAAGCCATATTAGTTGCTTCTTTTGTTGGCTAACTTGAGGCCGGTTTAAGAAAAGAGGCTCACAATGAACTTCAGATGGACAACTTCCTGAGATTAACTGATTGAGATCACACATGTTAATAAAACGGTCTTTTCGTAACTCTTTATCTAATACAGCTTTCACGAACACCCTCAAGGCTCTCCACCATGTTTCAAATGGATCCCATTAAACTGGGTCCAGCTCTCCAAAGAGAGCTCAACGTTTTAAGCTCCGAGCCGTGATCAAAGAAGTCTTCCTCAAACATTGCCTGTATTTGCAGGTGCAGCGCAGTGAGTGAGTCCAGCGTTGCGGCGTGCTGCTTCTCTCCCTGTGGCCAGATGTTTGTGACCGGCTGCACCCGCGGAGACCTCAAACTGTGGGACACGGACGTCTCCCTCCTGCACGTTGAGAAGGACGCCCACGACCTGGGAGTCGCCTGCTGCAGCTTCGCACCGCAGTTCAAAGTCGGTGAGTTCAGCTAAATCAACCACAAAACATGTTTTCATTTTGTATTCACTTATTAATGTTGGTGTTTAGACATGCGGTTGGGTCATTTATTTGTTGATGCTTTGAAATATTTCTCATTGAAGTCCTTTTATGGAGCAAACTTTATGGTACGATTTTCTTTCATGTCTATTTATTGATGCTTTTTCCTGCTGTTAACCGAACAGAATATCTCTGGGTCTACTGTTAAACTATCTAAAAAACTGTTTATCTTACAGCATTTTCTTTTTTCAGTTAATCTTTAAAACATTAATTCATTCTGCGCGGATAAGTTGAAATAATTAACGATGGTTGGCAGTAACTTAAAAGAAATTCTACAATCCCAACACTACATTTATGCCACATGCAGTGTAAAAGTAAACCGTCCGTCCGATTATCTTTTGTCTTCTTTAGTTGTTTAAGTCAGCCATGTTTTTTTTGGCAGCAGATGGACACCGTGTGGAGTTCCGACTGGCCTCCTGTGGACAGGACAGCCGGCTGACGATACGCGTTGTCTCCCGGCGTGACGGCGCAGGTAGGCCGGCCCCTCTGCATGCTTCCTCCCCTCGGAGCTCTCTCACCCCGTTGCACACGAGAGAGCGACACGGAGAGAACCTGCCGACCGCGTTAACCTTGAGGCCGCTCCGCAGAATGCAGGAATTTTATTAGTGTGCGGAATAAATCAGCTGCGGAAAGACCGCTCGAGGACATTTTGCTGAAATACAGCAGCTGCAGAGGATCAGGTGCACACAGAACATCCGCTGTGACATTCACATCTTGTGCCGCCTGCGGCAGCACGCAGACGTTTAGTGTCCGTCCGCACGCTGCATTTTTGTCAGTGTATGAAGATGCCTCACCTGTTGTTAATTCCTATGTAGCGTCGCCGTGGCAACGAGAGGATGCTATGTGTCGCCACGCGATGACCCGCTGCGGTCCGCGGGGATTTTTTCATCACGCTGCAGCTTTTAGAAAAACACAGAACAATTCTCTTTAAAATGTATCTCTTCACATGCTCTGGAGGAGCTCGCAACAAAAGCTGAAATGTGCATTTATCTTTTCAATATGGTTGCATGCTTAGAATAAGTCCATTTTGAAACTGGGATTGACGTCTGAATAGAGCATTCTTCTTGGTGCGTAATGTACGTTTCCAGCAGTATATATTTATGCTTCCATATATAAAATAAATGCTCTTGATTGAGCACATTTTTCATGTCTCGCAGCCTTTTCTCCCAGCGCGACGCCTCTCAATTACACGTGTCATTTAATTCATTTTCTCAAGTGTGCAGCTTGATTTCTTCAGGTTTGATAATACGTTTTTTTTTTTTTCTTCCTGAATGAGCGGTAGGGGCACTTCACATCATGAATATGCATGCAAATAACAAATGGAGCTCCCACAGAGCCTGGAAACAGTACATTTTAGTCTAATGGCAAAGAGGTTTAGTTACTACTATACTAATTTACAGGCCAGCAATTTAAACGCTGCCCCAGATGAGCTGAATTTTCCACATAGGATTCATAAACGATGTATTGTTACTCCGTACTCGTGTGTCTTTGTGTCGTAAGATGTGCATGTCTCCGTTCCTAAGACATCCTCTGTTCCTAAGCAGCGCAGGTGGCACAGCTTCAAACTGGCAAGCGGGAAGAGCGGGGTGGGTGGGTGGGGGTGTGTGTGTGTGTGTGTGTGTGTGTGTGTGTGTGTGTGTGTCAGGGTTATTTGGCACATTTGTCTATTAGCATCAGAGTGTTTCTTGGTCAATTTAAGGACAAATTTGTTGTTTGTGTATGTTTTGGTTAACGTAGACAGAGTGACGTCCCCAAACGTCCCCTGAGTAAACGCGTGTTTGTCGTCCTCAGACTGGGGGATGAAGTTGCTGCACACTTTTACCAGCCAGGTGTCTCCCGTTCTGTCCTGTGCCTTCTCTTGTGATGGAGAGCTGCTGGTTTCGGGGTAACTCACCACGCGCATCGCCCCATTACTCTTAAATAACTCTAACAAACCCCCCCTGTGCTGCCAACGGAGTATCGACTTATTATTTGTTCTTTGCTTTGAACTCATTTGGGGGTCTATTTGGTTCAAATGAGTCTTGCCTCCATGTTTTGAAATGCTCTTTATTTGCCCGTGCTGTAAACAGCAGATGCCACTGCTGAGCACCGATACGGCTGCTTCTTGAGCGGGTGTGTTTTGTTCTGTTTACTCTTCGGTTTGCATCCCTCTTTTAATTCAAACGCACCGAAGGTTAATCTGTTCTCTTAAACCCTTAAATCATCTGTGTGTTTCAACAACAGCGTGGATAAAAATTCTGCAAATAACTTTCCTCTAATTATTCAACAGTTCGGTGGATAAAAGTGTTGCAATATATGATGCGGTAAGTAAAACACTTAAATAGCTTTTTCTGTTTTTCAGTTAATTACTTTCTAAATAATGTAATCCCCCCCCCCCTGTAAACACAGACAACACAAAGGTCCCTGTTCTGTCCTGCTTTGTTTCCAGAACCGGGGATCCCTGCTGCACACTCTGAAGCAGCATGACGGGTAAATGAGCTGGACCTCCTGCAGTTGTGCCGTCTCTGCAGCCACCAGACAAACGACCACAGACTTCTGGATGAAAACATGTGATTGTTGCCTGATTAGTTTCCCCCCCAGAAGCACTTTGTACAGGGATGCAATAGAATACCCTCCAGCGCTCTGACAGCCACTGAGGTGGCACCACAGGTGGACACCGGCTGAGCCCTTTGAAGCACTTGAAAGGATCTAAGATACAGGACGATCTAAGACTGGATTTTAATTTATATTTTATTAAGCGTAGATGGAGGATGACCTTTTTTAAAGCCGATCTCTTCCTGTGCCGATTTTATCCCGTTATACGCACCCTTCACATTTCTGCTCCTCTTCCTCCTCCCCCGCAGGTACGTGACCACTGTGGCTCTGTCTCCCACCGCGCCGCGGATCGCAACGGGGTCCATGGACCGAACCGTAAACGTGTGGGGAATAGGAGAAGAAGTCGGCGGAACAGGTGAAATGTTGTTTAAAAAGTGCCCAATCACAGAAATCTGTTAGCGGTGGTTCAAAGCCTCCCTGGAGAGAGTTTAGGCAGATATCCAGCCAGCGAAGCTCCCATTACATGCGTTTTGCTGTCTGGCTGCAGTCGTTGTCGTTGACGTTTATTGGTGCAGCCGGGCGAAGTACCGCTGAGCCTCACAGAGCTGTTGTGAATCCTCTCTAGAGAAGTAAGTTGCAGCCCAACATGAAAGAAAACATTAGGAATAGCAAATGAAGAGGTGCAATCGTTAGACATTGGGAGGCCTCGAGGTTTCATCAGGGCAGCGTCCCATCTGCCGCGCTTAACGTCGACAACGCCAATTCCATCCTATTGAAGATCTGCTGTTTGTCCCTTTTACCTCTTTACTTTCTCTCCGTCTCCCCCTTTTTCCATTTAATCGTCTTGTCTTTCTTGTCAAATATTGAAGGTATTCTCTTTTATGTCTTTCTGCAGCAGCTGAATCAAAGCAGACCGTGTGCCAAGGTAAATACAAGCATCACTGTTATTCACAGCGCTCCTCTGTGTTTATCAGGTTTCTATAGCTACTGTATGTAGGCATAGACGCCCGACGGTACTTTAGTAAAGCTAATGGAGATCCAAGAAAAAGAAAATAGCTACTGCCTGGCTTTGAAGGATAAGGCTGGCATTATCCACTATGTGTCTAATGCCAAGAAATCCCATTAAAAGACTAAAACAACAACGCGTCGGTCCGTCTCTTGACGCTTTCCACAGCCCGTTTGTTCCTGCTGAACCGTTCAAGGTGCATCGCGAATGTGTCGTTCTGTATTTGAATAGAGGCTCAGACACTCGGTGAAACGTATTGGCACAGTAGGTGTGACTCTGATTGGTGCAGCCTCTTTTCCCTCATGGTTTAGAAAAATAATATCTGCCGCCCGACAACAAACGACGGTGCCGTCAGTCACAGCCGTACGCAGTGATTAGTTTCTATTAGCAAATGTTAAACTTAACTGAGCTGGCAGCCAAACATCATATCGTCTGACCGGTATTGTCGGTATTGTCACAAGGAAAACAGGCCAGGCTCCACGTCTCCAGTCTCGTCCTGTGAGTAAAGGGGGACGCTGACAAAACCTCAGTGTAGACCGACAGACTACGTAGCTCACCTGGCTTACAAACGGCTCGGATCCCCGGGGAGGAGTCGGGAAACGTTCCTGGGATGACAGAAAATGGACTGAGGGACGGTGAAGAGAGAGAAAGATGTATACGATAAATCCCTCCATGTAATCAAGTCGGAGCAGTCCCAGTCTGCAGGGAGGCTCTGAGGAGGTGCAGACCCAATAAATGGACGTTTCCACTCATTGTAACTGTGCTTGAGTTATGCAAGCAAAGCTTTACTTTACAAAACAAGGAGACAACACTGCTCTGCTTTAGTGTCAGTTCTGTCACGCTTAGTACCTAAGAGGGAAAACCTGAGGGTAAATATCAGCATCTTGCAGTAGTATCCAAAAGTCAATGCAGACGTGCTGTCATGCGATTCAACAATCCCAAATAAAGAGCACATGACGTACAGGTCTCAGGCAGGTTGCCGTTGAAACCACAGGAAACTACACATTGGTAAAGTATCGTTGTGCCTGGCGGCATCAGGGGGGCTCGACTTAACGTGTTGGCGGCTTGGTAATGAGCAACACCTCCGGGCTTCAGGGTTCTCCTCCACGCAGACAACGTCTGGCACTCGGGTGACAAATGACGGCCGCTCGCTCATTGCTGCACAGTCGTGAAGTAACACAAACCAGTGGATCGACTTTTTCTTTAGTCACACGCTCGTGTAAGAGGTCAGGGATCCGTGTGCAGGAAAGTAATTGTCACTTCCATATCGGCTCAGAGGGAGCGCGGCCTTTTCTGTGCAATGTGAGAGAAATTGTTTGTTTACATCGGGGGGGGGTTATAATTGTTATAATAGCAGGGCACTTGCTCCCTTCCTGTTGTGCGTTTTGCAGGGAGGAAGTTGCCGGGTCACCGCAGCCTGCTGGTGGCTGATTGGTCCGAGGAGGATGTGCACACTTGGCTGTGTGAGGAAGGACTGCAGGAGCTCGCCGGCATCTTTGAAGCCAACAACATCGACGGAGCAGAACTCGACCAGCTGAACGGGGAAACAGCAGCGGAGCTGAGAATCGGTGAGGTCCAAACACGATAACGCATAGAGTACAGTACACACACACACTGTCACAGGGACCCTGGGACTCAGTGTTTTTGTGGGGATTTACAGTTTGATCCTAAAACCTGACACACTTCAATTGGATAGCATGGTATAAGCAGTTTCTTTTCTTTTTTAACTTTTTATTGATGTTCTGATTTATAAATTTTGTGCCCCACAACTCTTCCCCAAACAGCGATGTGATTTAGCCGCAACGTTTCTATCCGCTTACACAATGACAAATCACGCTGCGAGGACAGTATCCAACACGATGACCTTTTACGTAGAAAACAATGATAATCCCGCTGAAAATAAGATTAGTCCCTCCAGGGTCGTCCAGGGTCACTGTGCAAACTGCAGCCAGCAGGCGACTGAACACCATGTGAGAGCTGACAACGCGCACGTCGCTTATCATGTAATTAGTTTTTACACCTGAGTAAGTATTTCTGGTAGATTTTTTTCTCCCTTTTTCTATACATAGGCACACTGACTTCTGGCTTAAGTTTCAGTCGCCATGTTTATTATTTGAGTTATCAGTAAAAAAAGACTAAAGTTGGTAGAAAGTTATGGTATTGGCGAAGGAGGGTGGGGATCGTTTTTGTTTAAACCCTGGTGCCAAATGTGTAAAGGTTTATGTCTAAAGAAAAATGTATGTAGGCACCCTTTGTATCAGATTCACACATGAATATATACGGCACCTGTATTGTCATTAATTCCGTATTCTTATTGCCAACTAATCTATGATCTCAAGAGTATGCAAAGCATTTTGCAATAAATAATATTATTGATAGTATTGTTTTTATAAATGCGCCTTTGACTCCCTTATGAATCCAGATCTAGGCAAAAATCCTAAACATGATTAAACCCCAAAGACTCATTATTTGTGCACAAGATCAATGCAGAATTTACATTCCGTTGAAATAACTCATTTTGATAGTTGTTCGCTTGTAAGTTGTGCTCTCCGTTTAGCATTTCAGCAGCGTACATTTCAGCTGAGCTCATTTTGGGGAGAACTTAGCAGACAGTTGACCCACTGCGTGAATGCCATGAAGCCCAGAAAAACCGTCTCTGCTCTGATTGTTGGTACTCTGTGCCGCCGGTAATCATGTAAATAGCTGTATCACAGCCCCACCCTTAATCACAGCAAAAACGCCCTTCTGGCTATTGTTTGCTTTAATTGGACGGCAGTAGTCATGGTAAAAAAAAACAAGAGCAAAGTTGACTCACAGCGCAAAGCTCGTCCGCTGGACCGAGCATCTCTTTTCCATGTGTTTAGTGTCCTCCGTCACCACAGAATGAGGACAGAGATTTCCTGTCCTTTTTTGTGCCGTGTAACCCAACAACTACCACGTCCCACGCATGCCGTTTGTGTGCATACACACACAAATTAGATCCATGCTCACTTTGCTTAATGAAATATTCATGAATCTTTGAGGCGGAGGGGGAGTTCCTCTCGGATATAATTCAGTGTCTGTGTGGAGACAGCCTCATTCTGCAGTTTTTATTGTAGCGTCTCATCAAATTATCAATCTAAATGTAAAGTGGACCGTATAGTATGAATAGCTTCAGTCCTTATGAAATATGTGGGAACGTCTAATGTTAAACCTTTTAGAGCTGGCAAGGGTTGTTTTTCTATGTGCAAGCAATTCATTGGATGCATTTAGGAAGCCAATAGGTTCAGTGTGTGTCATCAACCTTTTGATTGAATCTTACAAGAAAAAAAGTGATGTTGCTTAAAGTGTTTATAATTGCTGCTGCATCTCCTTGTTTTACCGTAGTTTAATGCCCCAGTCTTAGTCATGTGCACTTGAATGCTCGGCTTCCTCCATCTCTATTTTCTGCTCTCACGTATGAGGGTTACAATAAGACGGACTCACGACATGTAATTTGCTATAAAAATCAAATGAAATATAGAAGGAAGGATTCGCTCGTTCCTACATTTCCAGAATATCTCTTGGTAAAACTACTTAAACTGAACAATGTTATTTGTACGTAAAACAACACATCACTAATCACGAGGGGTTAAAGTTCCGCCTCCATTGTAGAAAGATCTAAGCTGAGTTTGCTGCACATGATGTTTTTGGTTCTTAGAGTCCGTGGGCCTCCGCGGTCGTCTTCTGAGGAAAATCCGGGCCTTGCGGGCCGAGCAGAGTGGTCCCGATGGCCCCGACGAGTTTCTGTGTCCAATCACCAGAGAGCTGATGAAGGATCCCGTCATTGCTGCAGGTTAGACCACCAATGCTGGAAAACAAACCTGTCTGAGCGTGTGTAAGGTGTCTCAATGTGTGTGTGCGCTCCACAGACGGGTACTCCTATGAGCGAGAATCCATCCAGAGCTGGATTAAAGGCAAAAACCAAACCAGCCCCATGACGAACCTGGTGCTGCAGACCACGCTCCTGACCCCCAACAGGTCTCTGAAGATGGCAATAACACGGTGGACCTCGAGCAAGTAGAAAGAAGCTCACAGGAACTATGCAATTAATCTGGAGCTGCTCATCATCGGCACGACACAGAATCCAAAATGTCAGATAAGTAAAAAGATATTTACTCAGTAAAGAATCCTAGTAAGGGAAACATTATATTTGATGATACGATCACGGAAAGCAATACTAATAATCTATATGAATAGATTGAGTAGCTTGCTTCTAATTTTAAGCATCTTCCATTGTCCTGTAATAAATGGTCACTGTTCGTTTTCTTCAAAATGAAAAGCCTCATTTTAATCAATGCACTGTAGGTTTGATAAGCGCTGGCTAATATTATCAAACTTTACATTTTATTTCACATAGTGTAAACAAAATATGCCCCATTGTCCTGTAATGCACATCTTAGTATCCATTATGCTGCTAAAAAGGATCAACAATCATTAACTCCTCTTATCTTGAGCTGGAGAATAAAAGTCAGTGGACCTGTTGGTTTCTTTCCTCAGCAGGTTTTTATTTCTCTCCCATGGTGGCTATGGCGGTAATGTTCTATTACAGTATGTGATCACGGCTAATAAAGCTCACAATACTGAAAACATGGCAACAATTGCATTTAACGCACATATTTAAATGGCACTGCGCCCCAAAACCATTTTTTATAGCATACAGTCAAACGTTTTCGAGAATCATTCAAATGTTTCATAAGCTGTGCAAAAATAACTATATAAAATATATTGCTTTAACAATTAACGAAGCCATTGGCGCTGTAAATAAATTAAACTAGACAGCAACAACAAGCCGATAGAGAAAGGATTTCAATTCAATGTTAATGGTGATTTATATAACATACAAACATTTAACAAATGTTTGGTTTTTTAACCGTTAACACCTTTTAAACAAGTCTCAATTTGTCAATACACTTAACATAGATCTTCACGGGGAAAATACATATTTATATAATATACACAAGATGATCCATAACATCCTTCGTAAAACACAGGAATGCCCGTCCTTTCATTTCTCTTCTCTCAGCACCATGAACCCAGTTTCCCTTCCACCACTATGCGTCACTGAATATGTTGTTAAAGCACTTGTGCGGCCTAATTTTGTATAAAGTGCTCACTGTCACTTCCTTCAGTGCAATGTCTCCAGCTTGGCTGAGTGACGGCCTTCTGACGGTACTTCATTCGGCTTAAAAGACGCACTCTACTTCTCGGGGTTTGGTTTTAAAAAGAAAAAATTTGCTTTGTTTCTGTGCACTGTGGACGGTACGAAAACGGCAGAGCAAACCTCTCTACACGTTGGACTCTATAAACGATCGCTTTGGTTTCATCGACGCCCCGTGGATGGCCGGATTGTCTCGGGCGAGGCCGGGCGGCTTGGCTTTACCGTCCATGAACGGGTGCGCCATCGCCAGCGCCGGCTTGGACTCTTTGTAACAGTTGGCGACTTGGCAGAACTTCTCTGTGAATTCCTTGGCGTGCATGCCGTTCTGCAAGCTGCCCACGGCACCCTGAGGTGGCGGAGGCTTGCGCTGCTCCTGGTAAGTGCTCGCCGTTTTGGCGTAAGGCGGCTCGCACTCGACGGGCAGCAGGCCCATCGCCGACATGTTGTGACACGCTAGGCCGTCCGCCGAGTGGTTCAGCCAGCTGCGGCCCGCCGACTGCAGGCCCGGGTAGCTCTGCAAGCCGTGTTGCTGCTGCTGCTGTTGAAAGCGTGCTTTCCTGTCCGTTACGCCCATGAAGGGTCTGGGTTTGTACTCTGCCGCGGCGCCGGCCTGCTGGCCGTGCTTCGTTTTGTCAGAGATCTTGGTGCGGACATCGGGTCCCAGCTTGCCGCTGTCCGATAGGCTGCTGCTGGACGCGAGGCTGCTGGTGGAACTGGACACGCGCATGCTGCCGCCTCCTCCTCCTCCCTGTGATCCCATCGCTTCCTTCCCTGGTTCCGCGGGATTCCCCTGCGGTCCGGGACCAGAGCAGGCCAAACCGTCCAGGGAGGACGCCGAGTGGAAAGACAGCCGGTCTTGCCCCTGACCCTTGTAGCTGCTGCAGGATGAGTGAGAAACCTGGGGGGACTGAAGGTTCTCCTTTTCACAACTGTGACCCGTGGAGGCCGCCGCCAGCGACACGCGGTTCCCGTACACGGGCTCGTCGGCTGGGGACGGCAGAGGGCTGATGTCGATGCCCGGGCCCGGCTTCAGCGCGCTGGACATGTGTCGGCTCGGTAAGGGACTGGAGGGAGCGTACTGAGATTTGGCCCCTGGCACGCGGCCCCCCGCGGCTCCTCCCCCGGCCTGCATTGAGCTCATGTGCTGGTTGGTCTTGACAATCTGGGCTTGCTTGGTCGGCTGCAACACCAGGCCGTGTTGGGCCAGCGCCTCCCGGTGCTCCCGAGGGTACCGGTGGGGGGGGAGCCTGCCGGGGCCCGGCGGCGAGCCGGGGCTCTGACTCTGGCGTCCCGAACTGCTGTCGGCAGGCTCCGAGGGTGAGCGTCTGGTGGACCAGCAGGCCCCGCCTCCTCTGTCGTGCAGCGAGGCCTCAGACTCCTCGTCCTCTTCCTCCTCCTCTTCCTCCAGGATGTCTGTTGGTCCTTCCGTGCTCCTGGCTCGGCTGTGCTCTGAAGTGTCCTCTTGTGCCTTGTCCTGCTCCTGGTCCGACCCGTGGCCTCCAGAAGCCTGGCAGGAAGACGCTGCCGCCCCGGCGACTCCTTTAGTCTGAGCGCGCTGCATCTGTTTACACTCGTCCTCCACTCGAGCCAGCAAACGGCGGATTTCCCGGTTATTGGGGCACAGCTTGGCCGCTTCATGCAGGTCAGCCAGGGCGGTGGTAAACTGCCTGCAGATAGAGAGTGTGAAGAGAACCATTGTTACCGGATCCAGACTGCATGACTCAGCGACAATAAGAACCACAGGAGCGCTGCTCGATAGTTTACCTGCTGCTTCTTTTAGCTCTTGCTCGGGCATAGTAGGCCTCATAGGACTTGGGTTTCAGCTCCAGTGCTTTTGTGGCAAACTCCTCAGCCATCCCAAAATCCTACAATCAATAAATTAGTAAGCAATGTGATGATGAAACGATACAGCACACAAGTTTCCCTCACTTTGAGTTAACTGTAGTTTAAAACTAATGAGCAACAACATTTGCACGCTGTTGCTATAGCGACACAGAAAGAGAACCTCCGGGTGAATGTTCCCGACTTTTGGGACGTAATCACAATTATGCAGAAAGCCTTCAGTCATTTGGTAAATAAATGTCAGGTCCAATAGATTTTTTTTTTTGTTCAGTGAGTTCTCTCTTCTCATCAGAGACTGAGTGAGCCGACCCGCCAGAACACGCAGGAATTGAAAACATTTGAGTCCACTGTAGCTTCGTCGTCCTTGTTCCAACACTAGCAAGCTTCCCGCACCCACACATGCTCAACTCGTTTCACGAGCCCCTGGTTGCCGATTTGTCTTTGCCTAAAATGTTTCCATGACATTTGAAATACTTTCCAGGAAAAAAGATGAAGCCCAATCAGTTTTATTAAAAAAACTGAAGCTAAGTTTAAGGTGAAAAGAAAAGTTTTGCTGAATGGTTGAAAGGATCACAGGATAAGCTTCTATTGCCAGGAATAATAATTGCCAACAAAAGTATGAGTTTGGGATGTGTATAATAAAGGAAAGAAATTCTGAAAATATGTTGATCAACTTGATAAAAGGTGCCTCTTTGCCTATTTGTTAAATTTGTATTTTCACTTGTCCCCACGTCACATTTACGTCACTCTTATGTGAGCAGCTGGGTTTGTGTGCCACGTTTGTATGAATTGAAAAGCCTTAAAAGAAAAAAAGGGTGTTTCTTCAGCAAATAGTGATGTATATACTGATTCCCCATAACGTTCCTGATTCATACTGACTGACGAGTAAAACTCCTTGAACAAACAGTCATTAAAGGATCCTGCTAAAAATAGCAGCACTAATTTGAGGAACAAGGGAAAAAAGTGGAGTGTCTCTTGAGAGGCTTACATTGGTTTTCCTGCGACAGCGGGAGAGATTGAGGTACAGAGAGACCCTCAGGTCTTTAAATGCCTTTAGGTCGTCACCAAAGCCTTCTCTAGGAAACTTCCTCAGGGCGTACTGGTACCGCTGGGCCGCCTCCTTCATCTTCCCTTTCTGGAGGACACACGGAGGGCAAAAATGCAATGAAGCAAGATACTCCTGCAAAGCTGTTGTGAGGCTTGAGCGCTCCCTTCTCATCAATCACGCATACACATCAGAGGCAAATAACATGCGTACACGTATAGCACCCGGCAAGTTTGTCCTTTCTCCCCACAAGCTCGATGTGTTAAATGTTAGGCATCGATCATAGCTCCTTTGTTAGGTGGTGCGGAACATGCACATCTATTCATTTTCTGCATTCAACCCGAGCTAGAAACAAGGGTTATCTGTTTTGTTGTCCTTTCCATATAAGAACGCCTGACAGCATCTTACATGGTTAGAAAAAACGTTTAATTAAGGCATACGAATGCTCTTTACAGTTTCAGTTACCTTGTAGAGCAGGTTCCCCTCCTCCATCAGCTTCTGGAGGAGGATGATCAGGATATCAGGCTTGGAAGTAGCCATGGCCCAAGCTGCGTTCCCTGTGGTCGGAAGAGGGGAAAGAGAGAAGTCGAGAGGCGGGTCGTGATGCGGTTGTCCGTGACAACAGAAGGTCACTGTATTCTCTGGTAATTGGTACAAGGTAAAGTTACCTAAAGATTGTACCTGATCGATCGTAAGGTGACGTTCTGTAGCCTGATTATTATTATTGAAGGCAGTTAAGAAGGAGAGAGTGAAGAGAAAAGAGGTCATGCAAGAGTCGTCATTTGTTGTGAATGCAAAAGGGGGGTTAAGTGTTTTCTGACTACATGTGTCAACAGAAGAAACAGCATTGAGTTTTCAGCAGTAAATACATGCAGAGTTTTAAACTGTGCTGAAAGAAAACTTCTGGGTTCAACGCATTGATTTACGTTGTACATAAGTGCAGCCCCAGATAGCTCTGAATGTCATTTAGGTGAAAAGTCACATTCTTAAATTAGCCAAAGCCGAGCATGAGAGAGAAGACGAACGGCCGACGCACAAACACACAAGCTGAGCAGCGGGTGAAAATCAAGTTAGTCGCTTTCTTGGTAGCAGAAGACAGTGAACAGAACGAAGCCAGCTGGACGTGGAGGCCACAGAAACACCAGGTTACTGGTACGTGAACTAACTTAGTCACTATCTGACAGCTGACACGGAAACCAGAAGACCTCACAGCCGCATGCTTACCGAGCTTGGC